TGCTGTGCTGGTAATTGTAATATTGTTAAAAACGGCTGGGAAGAACGTCTCTCCAAACGTCGATTGTATTTGTTCTTGGGAGATTTTCCACGCAACGTAGACGTTTGAGTTTTCCGAGTGCATTCTGAAATGAACATCTTTTAATGTCCCAGATTTGAGGAATAAGGAACTACGTGAGAACATATTACGTCCCAAGAAAAAAGATACTATTTTTACGTAGTTCGAATGCGTCCCAGTACACCACGGGGTAGTCAGTATTATTTATTTTATTATTTTGGCTTACACCTTTTTTCACAAACTTTACCTAGTTTAGGTGAGTAAACTAATTTTTGTTGAATTTATATTTTTGTTCATCATCTATTACTCAACTTAACATTTTTTGAAAACGTTGAGACTTCATAATCAAAAACACGTGTAACTGCTTGTAGATTATGGCACTGTCTACTTCACGCATCAGTTCACTACCTACTCACACTTATTGGCCTAAATGAGTCTTAGTCGCGCTCTGTTATTATCAAAGTTAAAATTAAGTACTATTTCCCCACCATTGTCAGAGTCGTAGTTGTAAAAATTCCGTATATAATTGTAAATATTTTGTTTTATCATAGTCAGTTTTGTCACTTAAGAGTTTTGGCTACAGACCAATGAACGCACTCGGTAAATTCAATATAATTTTTCGATAAGACTATACTACCGACATACTTGGGCTATGCAAATGGCCTAAAAAATTAAAACGGGACACACTAAGTACATCAGCGTAAAGATAGGATTTATCGGCATAACATAATACCAATAGTCGGTACATATATCGAACTGGTATGTGGAACAGAACACGGAACCGGCTGGACATCTTTGATCATTACGTTAATACGATTGGACTTTATGAAAGTGAAAGTTTGCAGGGGAAAATACGAATAACGAAACACAAAGTTTATTTTAAAAGTCGACCTGACCATTTCGTACTGTGAAGATACTAAATTAGATTATGGAATGTTATGGTACGTCCGAATCAATCGGATTGTGTCAACGCGAGCTTGTGAAGATAGTGCGGTCGTTCACACACACAACTCCGCTGAGGTAATGAACATTTGCCAGTGTCAATTTATATGATTAAGTCGTTTGGTACGTGTTTGATAAGAATAATGTTTTACAAGAGAAGGGACCCTCCATAACGACATTGAGACATTGAATTATGTTATTGTGCAAACGCAAGTAATATAATATATATATAAATGTTACATTTTTATCTATAGGTGTGCTTAATGATTTTGTTTCACTCATATTGTTTGTTTTAGTATAAAACATTGACTTCCGAGGTGTGCGCACCTATCCATACATTCATAATGACAATACAAGCGTTAAGTTGAAACACAATAGTATCATGTCTAAACAACGCTAAAAATATTGCGAATTCGTAAAAGCGCAAACTAAATTTATTTCACAAGTTATATACTTAATGTCCATACTTAAAAAGCATATCATTAATTCTTTTAATATTTTATATATTATATATTTATAGATGGTTGAAATTGTTTTTGTAACAGTAAAAACTGTCGATAAAATATTTGAGTGGCCTCTACATCGATTGATAAGTGTACACAGGTGGGATCACTTTACACAGATATTTTTTTTAGGATTCTCAATAGCTCCGGTAAAAACGGAAAATTGGTTTCCTTATAAATTAGGTTATTATAGTGGATCGCTTTATTATAATGCACTCGTATATATATATTATTTTACCTGTATAAAAAACAAACGATAAATAATAGGCACAGCTTGTTTTGGGCTTCGGGCATCATATTTTACAAAATCAGGAACATGTCCAGGCTCACATTAAATATGACGGGTATAAAAAACGTAAATGATTTTGTACATTTACGATGGTCATAAGTTTAATCATGATTAATAATTCATAGTAGTATAATATTATGTTTAATCACTTCTCAAGCTATAAAGTTTAAAAAATGTTTACAAACAATATTTTACATCTGTGGGCCATAATTACAGTCTAATTTAATAGCGTGAAGAAGACTGCATAAGCATTTGTTTAAATTTTGCTATTTATATTCATACACAATTAAGGTATGCTCAGGGTAGTATACATAGTTTTGTTGGGATTACTCGTTCCCTGACGAGTTTTAGAATTGCTTCCGAACCATTTTTTTATTTTATTTTTTATATGTACTACTATGTGCAAATGAGGACCACCCATTAAATTATTCAAGTATAATTTATCGATTGATAGTGATATTTTCAAAATGTATTTAAAAATATTGTGTACTCGTATTTATAAAGTTTAATTACATTATACAAGGTATCTTTAAATATTCGAAAATAAATATTTTTATCGTACTCAAGCAATCAAAAAAATATTCGAATTACAATAATCTAATGAATTAATCGGTAACCTTTTTCATTATTAATTGAGTATTATTTTTATTTTAGAAATAAAAAACTATTTACAAATGAAAAGTTAATGTTTGTACAACTTAAAGGTTGGTAATTATCAAATATTTCCTTCTCTATGCCAACGAAGACAAGACATTATTACATTTTGGGATAAAGACATGTTTACCTTTTTTAATTAGTTTCGACTCACTTTTCAGTAAAACAACACAATATCGTGAAAAACACAATAACAATACCCGTTCAAAATTAATTTACGATGCAGCTCAATATATATATATAATAAATATGTTCAGTGCATATATAAGGTACACCACACACCTGATCTCTATACTGCAGTATAATATTAAATGTCAACAAACCTATATTGGAAATCGCGTCGAACGCGACAAGAAGAACGAACGTCCCCAGCATTTTTAATGCATCGTACAAATTATTAAAGACGATTATTATTATGTATATTATACACACACACGCTCAGGAATGAGCATTGAGCCGTTTCTATCTATTGAATCTTGTATTTTCATCCTTTTTTAGAACTTGTGGGCATTAAATTTTAAATGTATATTTTTATGCATACTATAATATAGCTATATTTCAAGATTTATAGGTATTTTCAAAGACTATCCAAAAGAACAATAAAGTGTAATCGTAAAATATGATGACATGGTGGTTAAATAACATACAGTTTTATAATATTATGTTAACATAAATATTTTTGATTCTGTTATGATAGTTACAAGCAATTTATTCACCCATAACGGCCAAACCAAATATATCTTTAGCATCTTTTATATTTTGTACATTAAAATATCAAACCAAAAACTAAAAAATATTTTCGTTTCAAAATATACTTAATTATATGAATATAGAAGAGTTAGTAATGCATAATATAATTTTGGAACTCCCAAAGCATCAAATACCGACAAATTGTATCTTAATTTGTGAAATAAATATTATTAATCATATGAAACTCGATTTTAATACATCATAATGTGTTAAAGACTGTTTAGGTGCATCTCTGTCATATCTTAATTGATTCGTTCTCTTGGAAAATCTTATTAAAACTATAACAATATATTTATATAATATTGTGCACCATTCTTGTCAAAAAATGTTAAAGTATTTCAATAATATAACAGTGGTAACACGGCGCTTTGGTTAGGCAGTATAGGTACACCAAGGACGCGCAGTTTGTTTTCGGTATCTCATGAAAACTGTTAGTCGAGAAAAGGTTATATTAAGGTTTTATTTGTGATACAAATAACAATCGGGTAAAGTAACATTATTGGTTATATAATGATATCATAACTATGTGTATATCGACTGAATGCAGTAGTGCCGGTACCTCTAGCGGAAAATTAAATATAATTTGGTAAATAATTGTTCCTTATTTTTTATTTTACCGTCAAATTGTGTTTTAAATTATAATTAATTGTAAAATATAATAAACATTGATGTACAAAAACGAATTAGTAATATCAAACACGTATATTTTGATAATATGCAGCAGGCACACCTTTAACCGTTTATCGTACTACGAACGTCATTGTGAATCGATTAAAAAGTTTGTTATGTTTTAATACTATGCTTCTGCAGTTGAGATTACGAACCTTACTATACCTCTAACACTGTTCAGACTAATGGGAATATTAAACTAATCCCCCTTAAACTGTATACTCGGTTAAACACATTTTTTTATGTATTTAGAATGGGTGTTCAAATGGTTAAAAAAAAATAGTAATCAAAAAATGGATTTAAATATTTTATGATAATAGTATTCTCAAAGCATTCTGGATACTATAAACAATATTCTGCATTTCCTTAAAGCATGAAATATCAAATGGGTAGCATTTGGTTAAATATATTTAAATGCATTCAGTGCATATCTGTAGCATACCACACAACATACATAAAATAAACACCACATACAATTCAGATCTATTATGTTTTATTGTACTTTTAGAAAGTATTCAAAATACCCTAATTAGCACTGTATTAAATGTATTTACAAAAAATAGTATTTACAAATCATTCAGAACTCTGCCACTAAGATGTATGTTTTATTATTAGGTTCGGTTTGGTATGTACCGCTGAAATGATGACATGACCGTTTGAAGTGTTGTCTGACTGCTGACTTCGTAAGTATAACGTCACGCGATTATAGTATAGGTTGAACAAAAACAAGCGCGTTTTCGCAAACGGTTCGCTTAAAATTGTTTTGGAGATAATTATTGTACGTCAAAACTGTTTTCTGTTTACTAAAACGCTTACTCCTATCGCTAACCGACTTTTTCAAAGGTTTAATGTTACCCGTTTGGGTAATGGATTTTAGGTTTGGCGATGAACAAACTTCATAATAATACCTAGAGTGTCATATTGGTAAACAGTTAGCAAACCGTTCGTTTTGTTACTCATACGAGAACACGTATAACTACACTGCTGATCGACTATCTACAATTACGTGCTTCGAGTTATAATATTATTATCATCAATGACTTTGACGAGCTGCATCACAACATTATAATGATAGAAAGCTATGTACTGCAAGTCGGGGAGAAAAAAATATGATATACTCAATCCAATCGACTCACCTGTACAAATCGCCCGGGAATTCGGGGCCCCGCAAAACTTCCACGCACGAGTCCCCGACCCTGGAAACCTTGGGCGTCCATCCCTCGCACCTAGCCGCCATCACGTCCTTGACGCATTCGGCGAACACGCGCACTGCCGCTCTGATGGTGTGCTTGTCTGCCTGCGGTGGTGCGACGGGACGCAGCGACAGCATTCCCACCGGCACGTTGCCCTTCCTCTTTCCGGTCGCGTTGACGCCGCCGCCGCCGATGTTGCCGATGTCCAGCCACAGCCAAGCTACGTTGCCGGTGGGCAGTAGCCCGAGAGCGGCCGCCTGGCGCCAGACGGTTTGCGCCGAGTCCCGGTCGCCGACCACCACCACCACAGAAGCCTCGGAAGTCGAGAGTTCCACCATAGATCTAAACAAATATAATATTATACCATAGTATCCAAATTATACAGTTATTTGTGGGTAGGTTTTTCGATATATTATAATAGCATTAATTATATTACTCAATGATAATATTCAGAGAGACATAGGTAACATAGGTAGTATATTGTTAATACAAAATATTACAATTAAAAACAAGTAATAAAAAACAATTATAATAGTTTTAAAGTATTTTCTATGAATAGTTTTAAAAATGGATAGGTAGTACAATAGAAAAAAAACATTAAAATATGTACCTACACATTGACTAAAAGTTTTTAACAGGTAAGAAAATTAACATCACCAGTGCTTTATTTAAAAATTTAAAGAAAAAATGCACACTTAAATTTGTTCTAGGTACTAAATAGTACATAATATATTATCAATATTTTAGATGGCGAGACGAAGAGACGTAGATTAAATAAAAAATACTGAAGATTTCTTTGTAAATTGTATATTGATAGGACAAATAGTTTTATTTAATTCTAATTACAACTCTATTATTATTGTTAAGTGTGTACAGACTGTGTATTTTCATTTATCGTATTTTCTTTAGGATAAATACTAGTTTTTAGCCGAAAATTAATTGCGTTCTTAATGCTAAATGGTTTTTAAAAAAGGCCATTTTGAATATGATTGGATAAGCCTAGACTTCTAAGCCTGTAATAAACGTCGCGTATAAGTGGCAGCATGAAGTATTAACAGTAAATACCACAACACGGCAGAAATAATTTTACGAACGGTTTATCGTTCATAATAAATTAGTATAAAGTATACTATTATCATACATTGTTTGAAAGTAAGTACCTTATTTCATTGTTATACCTTCCGCACTTGTGTAGTAAGCTATAATGTTATATAATAATATTATACAGTATAACGGAGTATTGGGAAATTATTTTTCGATCGAACGATTTATGGTAATTGGGTGTTGGTTCGTGTGCGAGTAAAACTAAAATGTCACGGGAAACGATGGAAACGATGCAACGAGGTAATTACACTGGACGATTTTCTGAGTATTATAAATATATTATTATAATAATATTACATACATGGTCAATTTTAATAAGAAATCGATGACATGTTATCGCACCGTGTAGAGCTTATAAAGAAAAAATCATAATAAGGACTCAGACATTTTAATGATTCTATAGAATTGTGAAAATAGCTTTTTTAATAAATTCACGCATGTAAAATAAAAATAAAATAACATGAATATTATATAAAACTCAAATTAGTTTAAAAAAATTCTAATTTTTAAAATATTGTTTTAATTGCTGTCGGCTGATATTCCAATAATTGTTCATCGTTATAAAATCATATTTCATCAATAGAATATTAATTTAAGTAGAATCATTTTTGGAATAAAAAAAAAACAGTATAATATATACATGTTTAATTTTTTTTTTGAATCTATTACCTAAGTTTAATTAATATTTAAAAGCACACAAATAAATTGTGTCATTATTCGTGAACATTTATTTTGACTGGCTTTAAAAATATACATATTTTAATATTTTATACATAATATTACACGAGATATCTAAGTCTACGCCTAAAATTGTTGAAGTTTTTATTTTGACAATTGCTATTGATGGACTCTGGTGAAATTTGGTCAATGTTAGTGTTGCGATATTAAAATATACAAACATTGTAAACTAAGTTAGAAAGTTAAAACGATAAAAAAAAGTTGGTAATAATAAATATGTCCGTAATAGAAGTTTGTACATTTTAGTGTTCTCTACAATGCAAAGCAGTCAAACGAACCGAATTACACGCATGTGACATTGTTATACTGTTTACATGTTTTCAAATAATGTGTAGATATATATTTTTATACCGTTAAAGTTTAAACATTACCTACATTTATTTCAACCTGTGAAGTGAACTATAACTAATGAGTTCAATAAGAACATTTTTTTTTTTTTTTTTTTTAAACAAGAGAATTGTACAATCTGTAAATTAAGGTTTACAATAAGCACAAGTGATATTAGAATAGAATAATATAGAAAAGATGAAAATAAGGTAATAAACAACGGGTTGATAATTACAATTATTTACAAAAATTCAGACAGGGGGCGTGAGAAAATAAGAACATAGAATTTACAATCGCGGTTACATGGTAATAATAATATTACTATTATAAAAACACTGATAATGTAGTGGCGCATACAGATTACAAGACAAGCGGGGTGTTTGGAAGGCTATGGCACCCCCTCTCCGCTGGTAGGCGTTATATTTAAATTATATTGTAACTAAATATAAAATAATTAATATCATTAATGTTGATTTACGATTCACATAAGTATTATTACAGATATACCTAGTATAAATATAATTACGAATCCTGGTGGGCCGATGGTGTTTATAAGATCAATTTCTTTTATTACATCAACTATTTGAGTTACTAATTACGAGTTACTAATTACTAATTACACTATCGCGTCTTCGCACACACTAAACCAACGACATAAACTATTATATTGACAACAAATGACAATTTTATCGTACATCTAAAAATAACTATAAGATAAGAGGCATTACTTATCAGCCCGGCCTCGTACTATATTTGAATTACCTAATAATATAGTATATACTATTATATAGTTATATATTATATTTGTGACACCTCTTCTAAAAAAAATCATAAAAGAGTTACTGTAATAACTATATGGATTCGCTTACCTGAACAGCATAAGGTCTGACGAGTCCGAAGATATGGGCACCGACGTGTAGCTCAACGGAGCTATGCTCAGCATCGTCTTGACGCTTGAGTCGATCGTGATCGAATGCAACACGTAAAACTTATGCCATCCTGTGTGCAACAGAAATGACCTAAGAGCGGAAAACAATTCCCACGGTGTGATCGATACCCTGACCACCATCTCGTTCCAGCGTTCCTGTAACAATACAACATCCGGTGACATAAGTAATCGGACGAAATCGAGCAATTTATTATTCCTATGACCTCATAACATGATTATATTGCGACTAGTGGATTCTATTAGAATTTGAAATCTAATTTTTCCTGATTAAACCACGGGGCTGGCGACGGTTCGTTTGATAAAATAAAGTATTTATTATTTTGATGTATTAATTATACTATTTTATTTGGGCCAAACGACGTTTTTTTTTGTTTTGAGTACATTTTAAATTGAAATTGTACACCAGAATATAGTTATGTAAACCTGATTTTATTTTAAAACTGCAGTATTACTGTATTATAATCAATGTAATGCATGAATCAAAACAATATTATAATAGCTTTCGATAAATAAGACGTATAAGCGTATAACCACCGTTTCATTCTATATTTTATTAGAAACATACTATCCATCGTTTATTACTTATGAACACTTAAGCTTTAGATATAATTATAACGGGCATGTAGACGCTATACTGCACCACAGTCATACAATTCGCGTAATTATTAATTAACTATTGGTATGAAACACTTTGATACTAATTAAATGGCAATATAATATGTTCATAAATTAGTATTCAGCATTGAACTAAATTCTATGTTTTAAAACAACATTTGAAGGTATTAATTTTTGAACATAATTGCAATGAAAAATTGCGTCACACATTTACTTGTAAGTACACTATCAACAAATTTGATTAACAGACCGTATGTTTCCAGTTATGAAAAATCGTTATATTATACAACTGATATTGTAAACGTGTGCATAATATTATTTGCTAATAATATATTCCAGGCTTGATTGGTCACTGAATCTGTTGAAGGTATTCCTGCAGAATGCACTTAATTATTACCCAAACGCAACAATGTTATGTTTAAATTTCGATGAGATTACTCCTTCTCTCCTTCGATATCCTAAACTCCCAAGCCAGTGGCAATTATCTCTATAAAGGAACAGTATAATATCGATTATCATAATTTAATACACTAATACACTAATACATAATAATACTTATATGTACATGCAAAATATTCAAACATTTCTCATCACTTTTCTACCGAGACTAACGGTTTACCGACTCACCTCACATTTAAAAAGAATCGATACAATTCTTTGTTAAGGGTTAAATCCTATTTATTTATTTATTTTTTGTTTTCAAACTATGAATTTAATCCGATTTAATATAACTCCTTATTTAAGTTTATATTTAATTAATAATGTTTTTGATTTTCAAAAGTTCTCATTTATAAAACCGTCAAATAATCAGAAATATAATAAATAATACTAAACCCACTAATTCGTTCCATTCAAACATATAGTGAATAATAAATAATTTATGATAATACGAATAAGAAATAATTTATATTTTTTTAACATCATCATGACAACTGAACCTTAGTATGGTCCATTATAATTATTATAAGTAGAAATTAAAATGAAATATTGTAATATTATTATTGATAAATATCAACGAAATATAGTAATTTAATGGCAATCGTATATTATTTGATTATACAGACATAAGTTTAGGATAAAATGATATATCGCGGACCAACAAAATTAACTGGCTATCTCTATAAACCGATTAAATGTATTATCTAAGAAAACTGCATAGCAAAGACTTTTAGGAACTATTCTTTACTACTAGTCTTTACTGCAATTGCATATTTGCATACAAATATAATGAATAGGTGGGTACCTAAAGGTCATTGATATATTCTTTTTATTTAAAGCTTACTGTGTATATTGTGAGGTAAGTTTTTAGGTATTACTTATGATTCCTAATAAAATAAATGAACTTAAAAAAAACATTGATTTGATTTAAAATTAATTAAAAAAAGTATTCTGAAATTTTTTCCACTTTGTCTTTGGTGGATTTTTTTTCAAACTAATTATACGAAATGGTTAAAATTTATAATTTAATTTTAAAGGTAAATTATTTGTTATGAGATAAATGAATACATACACTAACATCTTAATAAGTATTTAGTAAATTAGTTGTATTGTTCATTAAAATCCATAGATTAAATTTAACTATGATCAAAGAATAATTATCTTGAACTTAAAACTGTAATATTACATTTTGTATGAATGTATATATATATATATATATATCGTACTTAAAGAGGAAGTAAAACTTTTAAATTTCATTAAAAAAATGAAAAGAAACATTATCCAATTTCAGATAATCTTAACTATTCAAATTAAACAAAATTATAGAAATTGCGATCATTTCTATTTTTTTCTTGAAGTATTAACATAATAGAAACTTTAGCCAAAATAATAGATTGAACATTGATACTAATACTCAGGAAATGCAAATTATGTATAATATTTTATATTTTCCGAATCATTTATTCAGTTAGGTCATTGGCTGGCTTTTGGGTACTAGCCTACCAATGATAAATGTTGAGGAAATGTTCGAAAAATAAGTTATAATCAAATAACAATTGAGAATTATGAATATTACTATCATAAATTGACCGCCTTTTTATCTGTAAAATCAATTAGTAGATGTAAATAGTTTTAGATTAAATATAAAATTAATGAAAACCGATCTCTTGAGAATTTCTACATGCCAGTAAACCGAATAGAATCAAATCATCGTTTTATTTATTATATGAACCGATGTTCAATATATTTATATATAATTGAGTATTTTCTTGTGTTATTTGTAATTTAAATGTAATTTAGTATTAATTTTTGATTAAACATCAGTTTTTTTTTTTTTTATCGAAACAGTTATTTTACAAATTACAATACGAAATAACATAATATCATAGTCAAATTATTAAATCTCATTATATTATTACAATATTTTTCATGTTACTGTTACCCAAACAAATATAATATGTTACATACAAGTCACAAAACACACAAACACACACGCACTCACAAGCACAGATAATGTATAGTATTATTTACTTTAATATTTAGAAACATTGTTTTACAGATGAATGCTTGAAAACCAAATACAAAGTTAGTTCGTATAAACATAAAATATATGTAATTTTAGTTCGATAAAAACAATACATTTTGACATTAAAATTGTTTGGGCTTCTATTGTGAAAGTTACATATAAATACAATTATTTATCGGTACTTATCATTTACGGTGTCGTCCGTGTGATATTCCTTACTCAAACAAACAAATTTACAAAACTGGAAATAATAATGTACAGGGTGATTCACCAAAAATTTAACTCCCTTTTATTCCTTTAATAATGAATTCATTCAAATTTTGATTTTTTAAAATTATTAAATATACTCAAAATAATTTTTTTAAATTCTTGAATTTTTATATTACTTAAGATGTCTCGATAATACAATTTAATGGAAACATCGTATTCAAATTATTAGTAGTTCAGTTATAACTTATATTATAATAAGAAATGCCTTTGAGTGTTAAGATATGCCTAATATACGTCTAGGTCTTAATCGTTCCATATCCTTTAATATTTCGCTCAGCCAGATATATATCTTGCTTATATACTTCTGACATTAACTATCTTCAAATTAGAACAACTTTTCTCTTCTTTGACACATGGTTTGCTGAATCATTTTTTTTCATTATGATCGAAATGTATTAAAATGAAATGACAGTTTTAAAATGCGACGATACATCATCATCTCAGTGACCAAATCGGTTATATATTTCTCGGACGGATTTTCCATTTAAAAATCTAATTATAATATTATTATCAGCACAAAATTCTCAGATCTCATGCACTCCACTTCTATCCGTTTGATTATTTTCCGATTCGAAATGGATTATTATTTCATTTTCTCTGGCCCATTTTCTTCCCTACTACAGTTCAACTTACCTATATACCATTTCTAGTAAATTAAACTCAATTTACAATCTATTGCAGCTGTCTTCACGCGTAGACGATTTAGGTGCTCCACGCAATACTGCCATAATGCCGTATTTGAAATCGTGCAAGTGTGTCGACATTTCTCCACACTTTACATTCAATCAAATACTCTCAGAAGGTAAAATGGGAGGTATAGTTAGGTATAGTACGTAAATGAGTATTTCTATAGCTATTTCGATTTGCCTAAATATTATTTATTTATTAAATTTTTTTACGAGATTAGAACTTTAACACGGAAACATATATTTATATAATAATCTTAACTATAGCCCAAAACAGAAAAAAATTTATACAATATACAACTTTGGTTTAAATTAAGTAGGCACTGAACATAATATCATGTCAGAGGTAATTAAATGGTCATAGTTTGAAAATAAAAACAAAGCTTTCGTTCTAAATTTCTAAATACATTCACTTGACATAGGAAAAACAACATCATTTCAAATTAGGTTACATAACGCAAACACTCTCGAGAAAAAAAGGATCAATACAAATTTTTAGTACAGAAAATAAATTTGAGTTTCTAATTGAATAATTATGAGTAGAAATACAGATCTTGCTTAACAAATCAGGACAATCAATATTTCTATTAAGGAGATCATGAATAAATAAGATGTCAGCTTACGTAACATGTGTCAAGTAATGGTCGAAATGTAATACATAGTGTCAAATGTTATCGACGAAAACATTATTAGAAAAATAAAATAAAATAATAGAAAAATGCCCAACTATATTATACAGCCATCCTATGTATTATACAAATGCACCTATATAACAAGTGCTGTAAATTATTTATTTTGTTAGACGTTTCGTAAACACATGCGGTTATCACCTTATAGTATACGTAGTAATATTATATAATATTATATTATACACAACTTCCTATTGCATTTTGCGTTGAATGAAAATTAATGTTGCACGTGAAATAATTTTCCCCCAGGTACATTACACCTACCTATATATTATGATACCTCGCTATTTATGAGTCGATAAATCACGTTGTTATTATTTATTTAAACGGAAATGTGTGACATGCGTACGCACACGCCATCGTTGCTGGTAGCTATAATGCTTCTTCGTTAAATTAGATTCGAGCAAGCTG